ATACAATTCTGCCCTCTTCAATACACCCTATCCCCAATAAAAAGAAACACCTCAAATTGAACAATGAATACGATGATACTAACGATATTGGTAATAACATTAATAACAGTAGTAAGGATCGTAATATCATATCGTATTTTTACTACTGTTTCCATTTTTAAAGTTTGGGGTAAATCATTATTAGCATTTTATTTATACGTGGCCTTATCACACAGCGGAACAAATACAAATCTTAATCAGGTTGAATTATATATACACCTAACTCAGTGTCATTCTTGAAGCTTGATTAATACGACACAACAGTCGAGAGACGCAATATGTAGGTACAAGTCATCGACAATACCCTTTCCAGCCTTAGATCAACATTACAGCAAGAGTTAAAGTTTGTAACTATAGATTCTTGCAACACTATACTGGCCTAAGATCAGCAGGTGGTGTGGGTTTTCTATCAGAGGGTGTTATAGTGATCATGATCAGAAATGATAATTTTATATAAGAATGTTTGTATTGGTTTGATATTAGTTATTTATCACACTATCAGATTTAGGAAAATTCATGTTGACTGCAAATGAAGATACAACTGGGATTGATAATGATGTAAACAAATACCATGCCGTTGTCAGATTGCCGTCAATAATGAGAATGGTGGTAAATTGCGTTCATTATAAGACATAGTCTAGTAATAATAGAAATTCATTGTCTGACTGTCTGTTGTTGGTTTGTCTCTGTCTCTGTCTCTGTCTCTGTCTCTCTCTGTCTCTCTCTCTCTCTCTCCTCTCAGACACACGAACATCCAATTGCAACGACGGACGATATTCCCATTAAGGATTCTGGCCAGGCGGGGCATTGTGCAACATTACCGGGTCAGATAAGCGACAAGAGAGCGAGTCGGCGTTGCGTGTGTCTATACACTCAGTCCCTGAGAGATATCAGTGTCCACCCAGTTGCGTACGCGAGCGGACAATTTTAGATATGTGGGGAGTCTGAATCCCACTATAATTGATTTTCGTGGCGCTTTTCACCAGCGAAATTACGAACTGTGGAAAACCGCGACTATCTCCCTTGGTTCCCTTTAATGCAACTGCGGCCGAGTCATTGTTCTTCGGCCATCAGGGTCTTCGCTCCGGAATTGTAATGTCTGGTCTTTCCCTCGTTCTTTCAGCCCTGTGAGGGGAATGTAACAACGAGAGGAATCTCACTTTTATTTATCATTTATTGGCTGGAGGTTTCTAAACATATGTTTTTCATTTGATTTTCATTTGGCCTGCTGATGAAGAATATGTAAATTATATATATATCGTTGTTCGGGTAAAATAATGAAGTGAATGATTGTATATAATTGTCTTGTTGCATTGCAGCGAGCAGCTTTATGAGTTGATTAATTCGAGAAAGATTTTAAATTTAGATTGTAACATATACAGTACTACATATTTGCAAAGCACTCAACACCACGCTGTAATATCGCATGGCACGGCATTGTCTAAATATTACGCAGCTTACTACTATTCTACACAGCGGCATATACACAAAGCACTATAGAGGACGTTGCATAACTGTTATCAACACACAGACTCGAAATGAGGCACATTCATCTCTATGCAAACTCTGCTGCTGGATCTAGTCTCTGCTCTGTTAAACACGTCTGCAAATGTATATTTCTAATTCAGTTCCTTTTTATGCATGCGTATTACGCTGCCACAAAAGCTTTTGAGTGTAAATGGAACAAAATATCAGTACAAAGGAGGCGACTGTGAAAACTGGCAACCAAATACACGGCAAAGTACGACCGTGCGATCTGACTGTGTTATTATTGGCGAGAGAAACCGTCACAGTCCGACTTGACATCCACGACGATGTTGAATATATGTATGAAGCTTTCACTATCATTCGAAGGATCCGAGGAGCCCTCGAGAAACTCTTCGCTGATGAGGTCGACCTTCTGAGATGAGACTTGAGAGAGCAGGACATAATCGGGACGAGGCAAGGAACGGCGACCGCCATCATCATCAACATCTCTCGGTCTCTCTCTCTCTCTCTTTCCCTTTCTCTCTCTCTCTCTCTCGCAGCAGCAGTCTCCGGCTCCACAAGTCTCGAACCCGAATGATCGAATCGGCGAAGCGCTGGAAAGAAACAATTGTCTAAATACTTTGTTCCCTCATCTCGGACATTCTATTTGAGCGATTGTTTGGGGTCTCGGTTGCTGGGAAGATATAAAAGGAAGGGGAATGGAGAAAGAGGAGATTTGAGTTGAATTAATTACTATACAATAGTCAGAGGGAGAAACGGAGAGAAAAAGGATGGTAGCGGAAAGAGAGAGAGAGTCTTGCAGGGAAGATATAAAGGAACAAAGAGGAAAAAAAATTAGGGGAAAAGGGACAGGAAAGAGAACGAATGAGTGAGTGAGTGAGTGAGTAAATGAGTGAGAGCGGGAGAAACACATAGAGCAAAAAAAGAAAACAGATTCTAAGAAAATTATACAAAGGGGACAAATTAAGATTTAGGTCATACATAATCCGCAGGTGTTCCGCTGTGCACTTGTACGCCCTCAAACAAAACACCTGGCGCATGTGTGTGTTGGTAACTTAATCTCTCTCAACCTGTACGCTACTACCACGAAAAAGAGTAAATGTCAACATATCGGCCGTAAAACATATAAGCACAAGGCCAGAGTTCAATAGCACATGATAGTATAAATAGAAATATGGACTTCGAGAGGGAAAATAAATCTATAATCGTATTCGCACGTAGTGACTGGCGGCGGCACCTTTTAAGACGTTTTCGAAGAGGCAGGTTCTCGTAGCGTCTTGTAGTGCCTGTGTTCTCGTAAAGACGGAACAGAGTCAATAAAGTTGGACTAGAATATAGTGCCAGGCGACATCAAACCAATACGAGCGAGTCACAAAACCTCCTACAAAATCACTCCAAAGAGACAATTAATGCCTCACCATAAAACAAAGTGGAGACTATCAAAAAATACATAAGAAAGACAGATGACGATCGTACAGTACGTACCGAGGAGATGGATAGCTGTGGGTGGCGGGGCGAGGGGGTTGTGGGGGGAGGGGGGAAGGGGGAGTGCCACGTGGGAGGTGTTCAAGGAGGAGGGAAGGGGGGAGGGTGGCACTGGGGGGGGGGAGGAAGTAGGGAGTAGGAGTGACAATTTGAAAGGGGTCGAGGAGGATGGGAGGGGTGGGGGGGGACTCACGGGGGAAAAGGGTTGGAGGGTGAGGGGGTGACACTCGGAAGGAGGTCCAGGAAGGGGGGGGGGGGGAGGGGGGGACATATCGGAGGAGATCGAGGAGGAGGGGAAGGGGACAGGGGACACTGGGGTGAAGGGAGAGGGAGGGGGTGGGGTTAGAGGCGTGACGCTCGGGAGGGAGTCGAGGAGGAAGGGAGATACCCCTCCCCCCTCCCACCGCTCCCCCCCTCCCCCTAGCAAAGGTGGCTCTGCTTGGCATCTCATTTAGAACTTTAAACAGATAGCGAGGGTCCGCGGTGCTTCGTCCCGCTGCATCTTGCCATCTTTCAACATTTTTCGTCCTCGATGGAACGTATTTATGAAGAAGACCCTTCAAGGTTCGAAGGATTTTTATGCAAATATATTTTACACATATACCTTTTTTCTTTGCAGTGATGGAGAGAGAAAAAAATGTAAATGGATATGAACTAAGTCGAGTAGTAGTGTGTTTCTTTATAAGTATATGTATCTGCAAGTTTATACACGTCGCTTGCGTGCTGATGTGTACTCGCGTGCGTGTTTATCGGTGATTACGTATTTTTGCCTACGTGTGTGTGTTTATACATGCATACATAAATACATACATACAGGGATACATACATACATACATACATTTATATGTATATATATTAATATACATATATTTATATATTCATATATTTATTTATTTGCCTATATATATATATATATATATATATATATATATATATATATATATATATATATATAAATATATATATATATATATATATATATATATATATATATATATATATATATATATATATGTATGTATATATATATATGTATGTATGTATATATATATATATATATATATATATATATATATATATATATATATATATATATATATATATATATATATATATATATATATATATATATATATATATATATATATATATATATATATGTATATACATATACACGTATATATACATACATATATATATACATACATACATACACAGACAGACAGACAGAGAGAGCGGAGGAAGGGACTGAAGGTGTTCATAAATCTCAGGCAGCTCTGCCACGTGACGGAAAGCTGTAAGCGCTGCCGAAGCGAGCAGAAAATCTTATATAAATGTTTCCATTTATCTTTTTTTTCAGCAGGAAAGTGAGGGATAATTCGCTTGTATCGGTTCATTATTGTAAACATCTGATAAATGACATTTACAGATATCTAACTTAAGTGCTTGGTTAATCATATATATCTCATACAAATATAAATAATAAAATACAGCCAGATATATAAATGTCTACGTCCACCTGTTTGCACACAGTCACACACACACACACACACACACACACACAAAAGAAAAAGAAAAAAAAGAATCAAATATGACCCTTTTCTTGTTATGAAGCAAACCTTTAAAAAAATCACAATGATTATATTGTTATCATTACTATTTATATTATTATGATTATCATCATCATCACTATCATTATTATAATTATTGTTATCACTGTTATTACTATTATTATTATCATCATCATAATCCTTGTTCTTGTCAGCACAATATTATCACTATTACATTTATCATTCTTAATAATCCTACTTATCATCATCAGCATTATCATTACTTATAATCATCATCATCATATTTATCCATAGCAATACCCAATATTATTATCGTTAATGTAACTTTCAATATCACCATCAACACCATTATCCCAACTATGGCAACCAACCAGCCATGGCAATCAATCTTCCCCCAGCCATGGCAACCAGTCTCCCCCCCCCTTTCTCCTCCCCTCCTCCCCTCCGCCCTCTCTCCCTTCCTCCCTACCCCTCCTCTCCCTCCCCCGTCTCTCTTCTCCCTTCTTTCTCCCTTCTTTCTCCCTCAATTCCTCTCTCTCCTTCCCCATCTCGGTTTATCTCTCCTTCCCTCTCTCCTGAATGATTTGAACTCCTCAGTAAAATCGCTTGCGCTTTCTCCTCGACCGCACAAACCTTCAAAACCTCTCTATCTACCACCCGACGACTGACCATTATATCTAAACTTGGACGGTAAGCACATACTGGGAATTGAGTCGTAGATGGAATTAAAGGATGTGAAAGGCACGGGAAAGGGAAAGGGAGAGAGAGAGAGAGAAAGAGAGAGAGAGAGAGAGAGAGAGAGAGAGAGAGAGAGAGAGAGAGAGAGAGAGAGAGAGAAAGAGAGAAAGAGAGAGAGAGAGAGAGAGAGAGAGAGAGAGAGAGAGAGAG